AGGTAACTAAGTAATTTATTATTTAAGAAATGTAGATTGTTTTTTGTTTACCAACATTTTGTTATTCCTTATTTTTTTTCTGTTTTCCAACTCCAATTATTATGTTTTTGTATTTAAAACATAAATAAAAGTAGTTTTGCATACCTACCTAATTAAATTTTATGTCATAGTATTTGATGGCCGAAATTATCCACAGGTCTATACAAGCGGTAGATATATAAATACGCGTCGAGTAGATACCTACTTATCTAAATACCCAATTATTATTATTATACCTAGTATACGGTATACCTACTCCGACTTATAACAATTTGCCTAATTATCCAGTGAAACTCCTACATAACGAAATTCTATTTAACAAAATACTTTTTAGAAACCATTAACCTTCACTGTTAATTATGTGTAAGTTTATCTCCGTATCATGCAATTGATGTTTCTTTTCAATAGGTACCTACCTATAATGAATAAACTATTCGATAACAAATCTTTTAATTTTTTATAATGCACAATGTACTCATTATCAAATATTAAATAATTAATTAAAAATTAATGTTTCATAAATACAATATTATAATGTATAGATAAGGTATTAATAAGGTGTACATCGTCGGTATGAAAACGAAAATATTAAGCTGGTTAATATTTTACTACTGTAAACTTCTACTGCAGTTTGAATATTGACATGGGTATAGCCGTATAGATAAACGGAAAAAAAACAAATTTTATATTTTATTAGACATTAGTTCAATGACAAACCCAGATCAATAATAATTCTAAATTGTAATTAAAATTATATTTACATAAAGTCCCATTTAAATAAAATTTAAAACTAGGTATTTTTATTCTACCCAACTAGGTACCTATCTTTTTTTGTTTATTTGTTGAAATAATTATTTTATATATTATATATACATAAATGATTGTTCAATTCACCTCTTAATATAAAGTATAAACCATGCATATAATTCAATAAAATAAACTATTTTAAAATTTGTGTTTCATATATTTTATTATATTGGATAATGTATATAGGTACAATTGTTTTGATTTTTATGACCTGCAGTATTTCATTTATGTATTAATTGCATACTATAAATACGAATATTATACCTAACTAGGGCACCTGGTCAAGTAGATTACTGATCGACATCAATTTTTTAACTAATTTCAATATAATTTGATATAAATAATTGCATATTATATAAAAATTTGTTTTAGATTCTGAGTGGAACGATGAATGTATTGATTTTACAATGATGTGTGTTTTTTTATTTTTTTATTTTATTTGTGTCTGTGTACACGATAAGTAGTCGAAATAATGCTTCGATTTTCAACTTCAGTATCTTGTTCGATTGAAAAGTGAATATCGTTGGTCCATTAGGGAGGTCAACATTTAAAATTCCCAGTAATTTTCAAAAGCAGAAGAAAAACAATAGAAAAATTTAGGAAGAACGGGAATTTTTACGCAAAATCGAATTCGATTTTGGTGTAACTTTAAAACAAATGTGAAATGACCGTAGATACTCGAAATTTTCACGGGTTGTTTATATTTGTATTTTCTATACTCGATAACATTTTCAAAATATTTTGATTTATTTTTAACTGTTTAGGGACATTTTCATTTAAATTTTTTTTTAGTTTTTTTTCTACAAATAGCAGTACTACAATTTTATTTGTTGGTTAATAAAGCTTGAAAATTTAATGGAAGGCTCCTAGTATATTGTTTCATTGTTTCAAAGGCAGATGAAAAATATTAAAAATTCCTTAGTCACAGTTTTTTTTTTATAAGCATTTAAAGTTTAAAAATTTACAAAATATGAAAAAATCACGAAAATTAGCAAATTATTTTGAGTTACCTATGAAATCGTAAACATTTTTCAAATTACATTCGCATAACCAGACATTATTTTTATTGCATTTTTCCTTTCAAAAAGAAGGTTTAATCGTAAATAAATAAATTTGATTTTTAATTTTGATTATCGAATATCCTACTTGCCCTAAGGTTTTGTCATTCATTCTACATTCATATACTATTTTAATAACATGGGAAATAATACGTTACTCCATAGAAATTAATTTTGTTACAATTGCGTTAATTAAAATGAAATATAGTGAAATTACTACGTTACTTCAAAAGTAATTTTGTTACAGTAATTTGTAATTTGCGTTATGTTTCTATTCAACACTGACTATATCATGAGGTAACCCTTTATAAATATACATAGACATAAGTACTTGGCCAATGTTAGACACCCACAAATCATAAATAAATTAGGTAATGAATAACAATTTGTTAAAATAATGATAAATTAATTTACATCACTAAGTATTCGCTGTCTACCCAACACTGACTCTGACTGTATCATGAGGTTATGGAGGTAACCCTTTATAAATGTATATAAGTATTTGGCCAATATTAGACACCCAGAAAATATATATAAAGGTAATGGATAACAATTTGTAAAAATATTGATAAATTAATTTACATCACAAAGTATTCGCTGTCATATATTTCCTGAAATTGCATTGTCATGAAGTTAGTGAATTATATAACCATAATAACTAAATTAGAATTAAGATTTAATACTGCAAAAAATAATCAACAACTGTCTCAAATTTAATAAATCATTTTGTATAAAATTAAACAAAAAATAGTAATATTAGATTTCTAAGTAATAAATTTCTAGAACAATTTAAGAATATATATTAAATTTGTTGTTATCTACATAATTTTCGCATTGCAGTCATTGATGCAAATATAACATCATTAACACTAATTCCAGCATACGATGAACCAACCAAGGTCAACGGCAAACGCTTAACATTGATATATTCTTGAAGTTTTGTTACACGTTCATAATGTCCAACTGTATATTGTGGAATGCAATCATTTAATATTTGTGTACTATATGTATTAGGTTTTGATTGAATATCAAGCACACGTTTGACATGACCTACAGCTGTATCGGCAAGTTTTTCTCCAGACAAACATTTAGAGTTTTTGACAAAATGTTCATTAAATCCATATCCACCCATCATGACTGTAAGATCAACACGATCACTGTGTCCATAAATATAGTTATTAAATATTATACCCAACAGAGACAATTTTTCAAGTGGTGAAGAAAGAACTCCAAAACCTTTGTAAGGACCCATCACATTAGGATCATCGTATGTTAAATTAACTGTTGCTATAGATACCATGGGTATAGATGTTAATAGCTGTGTCAATGTTGAATGTTGAGATTTAACATGGAATAGTGAAGCTAATTTATGTGCAGGTAATGCACTAATAACATGTTCACATTCCAACTGTTTGCCATTAGAAAACCCAATTCTGGCACCATTTCCGTTTTCGTGAAAATGCAACTCTGTACACTGAGTATTTAGATTTGTATGAATTCCTTGAGACTTGTTATCAATATCTAAAGCATGGATTAAACGCTGTAGGCCTCCATCTAAATAATAAACTGATGGGGGAGGTTTAACAATATTCGTTCCTTTTGTATCTTTCACTTTATCACGATTCCAAATGGAACTTAACTGTTCTTTTAATAACCCTAATCCAACTGTTCCATGTTTACGTTCTGCTTCATATAAGGCACCAAACATAAACTTAACACTCATTTGCTTAGCATTTCCGCCACATACTCCACACAATAACGGTGAAATCAAGTAGTCAGCAAATTCTTGTCCGAATGTGCGACAAAAAAAGTCGTAAGCACTTTCATCATTACTTTGAACGTCGGGTAATTTAGCTTTGCTATTATTTGATGAAAAACACTCACGTAAGACATAATAAATCCATGGTTTAGTGAATGGTTGATTTACTGTAAACAGAGCTTTCCAAACACTCATAGGTAATTGATGTATATTTCCATTTGCAAATATGTATCTAGCAGAAGCATCGATACCTACATTGCGCACTAGATCTTCAATACCTAAATCTTTTATTAAGCTGTACGTATTGTTAGCCGATTTTCCGCGACCTCTAATCGTTCTCGGACCAAGCTCACTAATAACATTAGTGTTTTCATCCTTCCACGACTGGATCCAGCCACCTGTATGATCGCTGGCTTCAATAATTTGTATTGATTGGTTTTTTTCAATTCCTCCCTCTCGTTTCAGGTAATATGCAGCGCTTAGACCAGCGAGTCCACCGCCTAAAATGGCTATGGTCATGATTAAAGTTACTAATTTCAATTAGTACCAGCAGGTACCTATAAATAATAAAATGAGAAAACAAACTACAATATAACTTTAATTTTCGAGAGATTTTATGTTGACATTAAAATAGAAACTTCAAACAATTTTATTAACTTTTAAATGCAAGTTTATGTGTGGTTTAAGCGGTTTTAATAATGTCATTAACAAATAATAATCAAAAACTTCAGTTTTTCTTAGTTTTTTTACATTTTAACAGGATAAAAATTTTTTTTAATAACATGATAACATGATAAAATGATAACAATTGCTTATATATTATCACTCTTTCGCATATCTTAGATAGTATTGTGTACAAATTGTTATAAATTGTAATTTCGTTTAGATTATGCTAGAAATATTATTTATTAATTATTAGTTATTGCCGATTGGCCATCCATTTAATCTTAATTATCATTATTAAGTATAAGCATAATTAAGGATCTATATAAACGTGTACATGCATATCATAACATAATTTATATATATATATATATATATATGCATCCATAATAGCGTGATATTATGTAATAGGTATTGCAATTTTAGATTATTGAGTACTATGAGTTCATATACTCGATATAGCTGATACTATCAAGTTATGTATTCTTAATCAACATAATTAACTTGGATAACTCCTAATTTTAAACTTCATTAGGTATGTAATTTATTTTTTTTCATCATATTTATTATATGGCATAGTTTTTTGTGCTCGTTTTTATAATATTCAATTAATAAGTTATAAACAGTGAGATAAATCTAAAACAAAATTAATTAGTTAAATTTACTCGCAAGCCATGAGTCATCCAGAATCAACAAAAGAAAATGGATTACCATTTTATGCAAGTGGTCTAGTTGTTAAAGGATTTGGACGAGGATCAAAGGATTTGGGTATTCCTACTGGTCAGTATAAAATGAAACATAATTAAAAAAATAGATAGTATCATCATAATTTAAAAAAAAAAGAATGTTTTTTAATAATTCTATATGAAACATAAATATGGTTGTACACAAAATTATGAGAATTGTCTTAACATTTCAAAATATTTACTAAATATAATATCATTCATACTTTGATTACCTATGATAAGTTAGAAATTTTAATTTTACAAACATTGTTACTGTTAAATTATAATAATTACATTATAGAAATATATCAATATGTTTTAATTAAGTACCCTTTTGTTTTATAGCTAATTTTAGTCGTGATGTAATAAAAGATTTACCTGAAAACATAAGCACTGGAGTATATTTTGGATGGGCACAAGTTGACAAATCACCAGTTTACATGATGGTTATGAGTATTGGTTGGAATCCGTTTTATCAAAATATTGAAAAGTCTATGGTAGGTTAAAATATATTATTTCACCACTAAATATAGTAATCTATACTCTATTCCAAATAAGATCGGGAGTCTGCGGCGACCAGTTTTCGTCGGGCGGTGGTCAGACATATGGCCAATTGGCCAGATGCCGTCCACACTACGGTGACGAGTCAGGCGCTGCCACGGAACAAAGCCACTTCCATGAGCACAACTCAGCCGTAAACTCCCGATCTTATTTGGAATAGAGTATAGTATCATTATATAAATAAAACATTAATTTGAATATACAACATAAAAAGTTAAAAATTGCAAATCTATTGTTAATAACTAGTAGATATAAATCAAATATGTCTTTTGAAAGTAGGTCATACATTTTAATTATTTTTTTTTTTAGGAAATCCATATTCTTAAACAATTTGATGAAGATTTTTATGGATCTAATTTAAAAGTTAAGGTTGTTGGTTTTATTCGACCAGAATTAAATTTCAACTCTGTAGGTAAGTTCAACTGTTATTATTGAAATCATAAAACCAAAATTGTATTTAAATTCCATTTTTTTTTATATAGATGAACTAGTCAATACTATTCATTCCGACATTGCATATGCAAAACAAAAATTAGATGAAAATGACAACAAAGATGTATTCTTTGATTTATAAATTGTAAGGCAATTTCAATTTTAATTTATTATTCCATATTGTAATGATTATAAGTATCATAGGTGTGCGCACGGGAGCAGCAGACTGCGCTTTTGCTGCCCCTGAACAGTTTGAATAGATTTGTTAGGACTTTACAGGTCCAACTGTCCATGCTGGGCCACCGTATAATGCTCATTAAAAAATAGGTTAGTTATCCAAAAATTTTATTGCACGAGCTAATCTTTTCTGTGATTAAATAGGTCAATCTTAACACATAACACAGTTTATTGTTATTAATATTATTATTAACATTCATTAAAGATTTATATGACGTATATCTATTATAATTTATCAAAAACTAAAAATAACTAGGGTTTTCCTTGTTGCGTCATAACGATACAATAGCCAATAAGTACAGTATACACTGATATTAATTTAATTTAATTACCACCATCCCCCAAGGCTGTTTGTATGAAAAAATTGTTTGCTGCACCTGACTTAAAACTCTGCGTACGCCTATGATAAGTATATGAAAATTAAATATATTCCTTTGTGTTTTATATGGTTGTATCTCACTTTATTTTGTTGATATGTATAAAAAATACATCATTATTGTTAAATAATTTTATTAGTAACAAGATTAAAACTATAATATATTGACTAAACTTAATTATTATTATTTTTAAATAAAAATGCACATTTTATAAATAAGGATATTCTTCTGTTCTTAAAAAAAATATAAACTAATTAATAGTTTCTAGCTGTATAATGCAACTATGCCTGGGAACAAATAAACAAATACTAACTACTGGGTAATAGAGCCGTATAGATATTAGGTTCATCTCGGTCTAAGTGTACCAAGGTACACGAGAAAATCAATGTTGGTGTACTTAACCGTGGTGGGTAATTCACCTGTGGTAGATAAGATATACTATGCACTTGGTATATTTTAAAACTACTCATTCAACTTTTCTGATCTCTAAGAACAGTCTTTGAAACTTGTCAAAATCGGTTGAGTAGTTTTTGATTATATGAACTACAAACTAATATAAATAAATGCATGTATAAATAGATTTTATAAAAGTCTCTTTTATTTCTGTAACCAAAATGTTCGACTTTCGCGAGATAAAGGAAATTCCTGTGTGAGCTATCATATTATGTTGGTTGAAAAAAAAAGCTATAAACATAAATCAGTTCAGTAGTTTGCATGTCTATAAAACCCATCCAAACTTACATTTATTTTTATGTATGTAGAAGTTTACTTATATGAAAATATTTGATACACATTAATATAGGCACTGATATTTTGACTGGGGTGATCCATTAAACTGTAAATTAGTTTAAAGCCTGTTTTTACTCACAAGCCTAAAATTAAAATATTAAAATTTCTGAATTTTTATTTATTTTGTCAGAAAAGCAAATTTAGCCTTCAATTTATTGAAACTTAGCAACCAGTCAACCAGAGAAAAACAACATAAAACTTACTCAGAAATCAGAATAATTCAATTGTTTTTGGAGATGGATTTTTATGAAAACCAAATTTTTACATTGTAATTTATAGATCTGATCAATATTGTTTCTTTGTAAATGAGTTGATCATTTTATACTTTCCAAATTAGTTCATAAGTCTAGTACTCGAAATTGCTTGAGTATTTGAAAATTTCAGGGTTCTATTATTGACATGCTAGTATATTAAGTATTTAGTTTATTTAGTAAGTACAGGAAAAAAAATTAAATAATGAAATAAAAATGTACTAGTTTTTATTTTAAATCAATTTTTGTAAATTTAAACTATCAAACTTTTATTAATTGGTATCGGAAATTTAAGGTTTTCAAGGTATTTATAGTTTATACATTCATTTTTTCAATAAAACATTCTAGCAGTAACTGGCCCTAGAATACTGAGTTTCTCGATTACTTGCTCTATTAGCATCTGGACGACTGTAGGCAATAAATAACATGTAGTAATCAAGTATTCCAACAGGACTCGAACATTTTTTTAAGGTCGATCACTGCTCCAACTCAAGAATAATAATTTATGATATATACCTACAATATAAATAATTTTTTTTAAGTTATAATTATACCAAATATTTGATAGGCATGTAAAGATATCCAAAAAGAGAATTTTATAATCTTAAATATTTATATTAAATTGTATTAAATTTTAGGTTTTAACTTAATATTGATATCAGTGAAAATAATAAATATGCAATATAGAAAAGTGGTCTTAGTAAGTATTTATTTTATTTAGCAATTAAAAACCAACTTAAATATTTTAATACTTCAAGGATTACGAGTATAAAAAGAATAATATAACATAAATTATTAGTGCTTTAAAAAAAAAAATGAATATAATACTGAATTAATACAACTATAAATAAATATATAAAATAATTCTTTAATTACTTCAATAGTAAAATGTTGAAATTGTAAACCAAAGCCAATTCATATTAAAAACTATTAATCACTAATATTTAAATTAGTGAACTTAAAAAACATATCCAAAAATAATAACTATTAATGCAGCCCAATAGTTTGATAAGAATGGTGTACCAGTTATGAATGAAGATAAATACCAAATTCCAGTCACTACCAATAACTGTACACCAGTATTTGCCAACATCAACCTATAAAATAATATGTTAAATTAGAACTAAATAAAATTGAATATAAAACTTCAAGTACTTACATAAAATTTTTCTTCAATGCTTGTTTCATTGTTTTATCACTTTCTTTGTGTAAATATTTCCGTACACCCAATGTAAGGTTTATAAAATATGGAGTCCAATTTAAAGATGTAGGATCAATGTAAAATACAGATTGGTCATCCACACTCAGTTCTTCTTGTAAACGAAGTGTACGAGCATTATCAAATTTCCATTCATTAAATATGAATGGTGCAAGTTTACTGAGTGATCGGTTCACATTTTTATGTAATCGTACAAGGCTGGTAAATTATAACATCAAAATATAACTATTTAAAATCATGAAGTATATGCATAAATTTTAATTAATATAAAACAGCCCATCCATGTATATGATGGGTTATGTTTATATGATACAATTAATTGTATTCAATAGAATATACTCACATTGGTCTTCCACCAGAGATTTTGGTAACAAAATCTAATATATAAGCTGGAATAAAATGAAAAATGGCTGAAGAAATCCAATACATGAATAAATTGGGCAAAAATTTTATATTAGGATACCACACAGCTCCACGTATGGGATAATTATGTAAAGTAGTTGTCAATATTGATGAAATGTCATTCCAACGGAATGGATTACATGTGCTAGTTGTACAATGAAATATTGGCGTTTGTCCATCTACGGTCGGTGTACTACAATTGAATAAGAAAATAATATTATACATTAATCAAAATGGAATATTTTCAATTTTACTCATGTTAATTTATAAAACAAAATAATATAATATAACATTTTTTATAAACAAACAAATTAATTAATTAAATTATAATTTGTATGTATTATACAAATTATAATTTTGTTAATTTAAAATACATAGTATACATAAATTATATTAAATTTGTATTATATATATTTACCTATCTGGCAATTGAGCACTAAACCATGTACCAGCAATCATTGTATTTATTACCACGTCTACTGGGATATAATCATATATTAAAGACTTGTTAACTGGTAAACGCCTTACTACACCCTTTGAAGCACCCATTATAAATCCTTGAGGACCATTTTTTGATACTGTCCAGCCTTCAACAGGTTCTTTCCATGCAGCAACAACTATGAAGTAAATTGTTTTTATTATTTATCTGAATAACAAGTTTGTATTTTTGTATAGTATACTACACATAGGCGCAAATTATATAGGCTTGGGGGTGCTAAGCCTCCCCAAACTTAGCCGTAGCCCCTCCAAAAACCTAGGACATACAATTTTAATATGCTATATTGCAATGGTCTGCTTGCCTTTAATATATTCAGCCCCCCCCCCCCAAGCCAAAAGTTGAAATTGCGCCCATGATAATACACATAATTATAGTAATTTTTTTCAATCACATGAAACATTAGTTAATAAGTAGAAATCTAATGATAGTATTAATTATGCCCAAAGTAATATTTCGAACAAAATATTTCTATTTTATTTAAACACAACATAGCATATTAGATCTTAACAAGACATTAAGATTTTTAAAGCACTTTTCTATGAACAATTAACTACCTATAAGAACCATAACATTTTGATCCTTAAACTCGTGCAATAACTATAATATAATTTTGTTCGGTTAAATTTTTAATTAATATTTTACATACTCATGCTTGGTCGTACTATACAGGTACGAATAATATTTCTGGCATCATTAACAACATGTTCAGCCAAAGCTTTAGTGAATGTGTAAGTATTAATGTGATCTCCCATAATCCTAAACAGATAACAATTATACATAAGTTATATAGAGGCAATACATTTGGAAAAATAATTTCCTTAAAATAATATTTAACATACATAATTAGTGTACAAGAAAACCACATAATCATAATCTGCAAAACATTTATATTTATGTGAAAAAATTTGTTAAAAATTTGAAAGATATAATTTTGTTTTATTTTTATATAAGTTTAAATAAAATATATTTTTTATTCTGTTTCTGATTTTGCGACAATGTAATTCATTTAAAATAATATTTCATTTAAAATGCATTTGCTTATGTATATATGTGCTTTGTCTAGAATCTGTAGTTTTTAGAAGACTGCTGTACAATTTTCTGAATGTGGAGTCAGTCATAAATATTATTTATATAATACTATATAATACTTTAAAAAGTTTAATATAGTTTAATAACTGTGAATCATAGTATATTACATTTTTTCAAATATCATGATTAGCATTAAGATGTCAATAACCTATAGTTCACAGTTGAATAATTATTTTAAAGTACTTAACTTTATATTTAAAGAATATTAACTTAATTACTAACTTTTCCGCACTGCTGTTTAATTTCTCGGTGTCCATAGTTTGAGTATAATTTATAATATCATTATAGTTCGCTGGTGCATCATAAATTTTTTCCATTGCATAATTTTTATTACTATTAACATAGGCACTAGATACATGCAATAAACACTAAAAAAAAAGTAGAAATTATTTTAAATATTGCATTTTAGCAATCAATAATAAAAATATAATTCATCTTTACTTGAAGGTTTTTTATTTTCTTGCTTAGCTCTACTATACTTTTGGTACCCATCAAGTTGACAATTACAGCTGTTTTGAGATCAGTTTCAAAATCTAACGTGGCTGCACAATGAACTACAATATTCACATTGTCACATAACATTTTGAAATCCTCATCTGATAATCCTAAATTTTCCTCAGATATATCTCCACATACAGGTTTTATCTTATTTAATAATTCATCAAAACCCTCAGAAGTTCTAAGAACATCAAATACCTAACAAAGTAATTATGACAAGTGTAAATTATACTTGATACAAATAAAAAATCATATTTATCAATTGATCTTTACCGAATTGTTTTTCATAGTATCCAATCTTTCTTGAATGCCTTGTCCCTTCCGTGGTCGAAGTAAAATAAATATATTTCCAACATCTGGCATGCTTCTGAGTACTTTTTCTATGTAAGAAACACCAACAAAACCTGAACCACCCGTTAGAAATATGTTTTTGTTTGTGTAAAAGGTTTTAACTGTCTCGTACGTCATTATGCTGGGTTAGAAATATTTCTTCAAATCAAATACGAAGTGCAAAAATTACTAGAAAAAAAATACTGGTATCAACATGAATACATTACATTTATAAGGCATGGTTAAATTATGTTAAAAATGTAGTTATGAATTCAGCAATCGTCAGACATAAAACGTAAAATCGATTTAGGTAAGTCTATAAGTACACAAAAGTTTATAACGTTAAACTACTTACGGATGCGTAGCACAATATCAACAATTTGACACTAGAGTGAGAATGGTCGAAGATAGAACACAAGTCAACAGCAATGGATGTAGATGTGATTTATCAGTTCTGAGCCATAATCATTAACCGAATGAAATATGAAAAAAAACCATATAAGAAGAATATTATTATAATGGCGAGAAAATGATGGACAATAAAAAACAAAAACAAAAAAAAACCGGTTTGGTTTCCGTGTGGTATGGGGTCAATACAACTTGTATCCGGTATTTCTAGTATAATAAGAACATCATAGTCGAAACATATATCGTACTTTCATCTGCCTACTGCCACGGGAAAACGTGTGCAGTCGTCGACGGGTGTTTGGTGGAGGGGCGGTGGGAGAGAGGAAAAGGCAGGCCGCTGACTATGTAGTAATTAGGAGGCGCCCGCTGTTATTATTATGACTATTATTATTTGTGGAAGCCCTCAAAACGTGCGTTATACTGCGACAAGGTGCGATCGCATCGAAAACTTCGTCGAAATAGGTATAATGGCGATTCTATTCCAACGGGTTAAATTCTGTAAGTTCATCTGAATTATTTTGATAACAACTTGTGTTCTATGCAGTTTTTTTTATGAGATTTTGGGCACGGCAAACACGCCTCATCGCGTAGACCGGTTTAATACCGGCGGCGGGAGGAGGGGTTCGTAAATCGTAAATCGACTACCAGCATGGGTTACGAGCGACGAATACACACAAGTGGTAATTTATTTACGAACATAAAGAGAGAGGGAGAGAGAGAGTGAGAGTAACGAAATATATGGAAATATGTCATATACTTACATGGCAGCGAGCAGCGTGTACAAAAACGAATACGAAATAAAGAGTTTACAAGTAACATCAAACGAGTGAATCCGGAAATCCCGTAGGCCGTAATTCGTAAACGTACATAAAATCCAATCAACAAACACGAAGTCCGCGATGATAACGCCAATGCGATAACGGTAACAAAAACGAAACTGATAAGACACCGGCAAAGTTTCTCCGGGGAAACTGAGTGAAACCTCATACCCGCACTGCGTGCGTAATTGATTTTATGATGTTCGTATTATAGGCCAGGGATGGCAAATGGGATTTGTTCAAGGTGTCAATTTTGAATTTATGACACAATTCCAAAAAAATGGTGCTCTGCTGTACAGTAGGTTACAAGTGGGTCACTGTGTAATGTATGGTATTAAATTTAAATTCAAAGATATAATAGGTATCATTGTATAAGAAAAACGATTCTGAGATGGTATGTCAGTCTAGGTATAAGACATATTATATACTTATCTATGGTATTAAAAACAATTGACATACAATAGGTACCGACCTATAATAAATTCCAAATTAATCATCCATTATCCATTAGGTACATATAACTCGTTATACATCAACAACAAACCCTGATACTATCATAGATATATAATAATGTACCTACTTTAGAAGTTTCAAGTACCCACGAATAATATTATACAATCACAACAAAATAACTAAAATAGTTATTCTAGGTTTTTTATTATGTAATTTCGGCCAAATTTGAACTTAAAATTACTATAAAAATAAAATTTGCTTATGTATTTTTTAGATTTTTTGGTAACAGAATTAACTACTTACGTGGAATCTTGTTTTAAATTTTCAATCCTTAGATATAAAAGTTGAACATTTTATAAATTTTTAACTACAAAATAATTCTTCAATTTTAAATTTGATAAATTTTGTCAAAATTCGATATTTAAAGGCTTATAGGCTTAAGGATTATAAAAAAAATTGTGCCTATATATTTTAAATATTTTTCAACTGATATTTTAACAATATATCAGGAGCCTTGTATTACATTTTTACACTTTTTGGCCCAACAGATAAAACTTTATTGATATTTATAGAAAAAAAAACTAAAAAAATTGAAAATTGAAAATGTCCGTCAACAGCTCAAAAAGCGTCAAAATATTTTCAAAATTGTATGGTGTATAGGAAATGCTAATATAAACATTCAGTGAAATTTTCATGTGTCTACACTCTACAGTTATTCGTTTTTGAATTTTAACAAAATCACTACATGAGAAATCGAGTGAATATCCAATATTGTAAAAATATGAAATTCAAACTCTCATAAAAATTTAATTTGACGTTTTTATAGATATTTTTTTTGATAAAGGTAGATAATCTTATAAAGATTCTTGTATTACATTTTAAAATCTAAGATTTAAAAAGAAAATTTTTTATGAATTTCTAACTTAAAATAATTTCCAAATTTTCGTCATTTTTACGTATTTTGTCAATATTTAAACTTTAAATGCTTATACAACAAAATTGTGAAAATTAATTTTTAATTATTTCATCTGCCTTTGAAACAATATACTAGAAGCTTACTATAGAAGGTTCTTCTATTAAATTTTCAGGCTTTAGTACCCAACGAATATATATAGAAAATGCTAATATAAACATTCAGTCAAAATGTCATGTACCTACGGTCATTTGTTTAAGAGTAACACCAAAAAAAAAAATATAGATTTTCTCGAAAACAGATTTTGCGTAAAAATTCACGTTTTTCCTTAATTTTTCTTTTGTTTTTCACTGCGCTTTTGAAAGCTACTAGGAAACTTTTACTTTTGACCCCCCAAAGTACCAACTGGCAACTAGATTCACTTTTAGAAAAGATACTGTTAAATAAAATTAGCATTTTTACTCTCCTGATAGGTGATGACAGACACAAAAAAAAAAATTAAAACAATTAAAAATCACACATCATTGTAAAATCAATACATTAATCGTTCTACTCAGAATCTAATATCAGCCGTGCCACCAATCCATTTTGGTTACACGGAGAATTTTTACAAAATATAAGCTAAATGATATAATGATAATAATGTAGAAAAAAATTATTAAAAAAATCAACTTCTATTGATTGCAGTTAGATGTTAGAAACATTTTACTCTATATTGCTTGAAACATAGGCGCAACTAGGAACATTTTTCTGGGGGGGGGGGCTAAAATTATATTGGCACTTAGCAGCAGTGGCGGATTGAGAGAAGGGGCACAGGGGCACGTGCTCCCTGTCACTTTTCTATCGACAATTTTTTTATGTAACTACCAATCCCATATAAATTAAAAATTCAGTTAATAAGAATAATAACTACCAACTATTAATTATTATTTATTTTTTTGAATAAATTAATTTTAAATTAAAATATGATTAAAAACTGGGAGGGCTTGGCCTCCATAGACCCCCCTAATTTCTCCTATGGTTTAGTGTAAATAGTGTAATTTTATCTTAATTATAGTTTTACGATGTACCTACATAGATCCAGAGGTCGTAAGTTCATGCACTAAAAATTGCATAAATTAGTATGCTTTCATGCAATAAACATTGGAAAAATATGCACTAAACATTTCATAAATATGCATTTATATGCAGTAACAATTTTAATTTATGCACAAAAGTGTTTTAAGAGAAAAATATTTGTTTAGAAAATATAAAGTAGCACAATTATTGAATGAAATAATATTAAATATTGAACTTAAATTATCAGAAAAGTATTACATTCGAAAATATATTAAAATCTAAGTATTCAACCGGAAAAGTTGTTTGTATAAAACTTAATTAACTAGATAAAATAGGTAGGTACCTAATAACTGAAACAAGTTTTAGAATAAATATTGTTCATTAGAAAATATATAGGTAATTATAAAAAATACTTAAGGTTTTAAATTTCCGAAAAATATTTAAGCTTATATAGATTTTCTGACAAAACGTTTATTTAGACTTAACTTAAAACAGAAAAATAGTTCGTTCAAAAATAATTTAATAGAAAAGTATTTTGTTAGAAAAACTATTTAGGTATATTGTATCGGATCCCGAAATACATTAGGTACGTTTATAAACTGGGTGTGGGCTACAAGCAAAACTGAGTGGGCTAAGCCTACCCAAGCCCCTTAGTTGCGCCTATGGCTTGAAAGATTTTTTATGTCTGGTTAATATGCCGTTGCTTGCAAAGTATAATTATGTATAGACACATGAAAGTCTTTCGGGTACCATCGAAAATGGGTACCACTTATTTGCCATCCCTGCTATAGGATTTACCTGTAACATCATACCTATATATTTTTTATAATAAATGGGCTTGCATTTGACAAAAAAAATTCCGTTTTATGTCATTTACAATTAAAACGTTATACAATTTTGCGTTTATCGTTATTTAGAATTAAAACGTTATCCAATATTTGCGCTTATCGTTATTTAGAACTAAAACGTTATAAAAGTTTTTCGTTTATCGTTATTTAAAAAATAGTGTTAATACCTATTCAATTTAAAAATAATACCTAACTAATGCGGGTAGTTATTCCCGGATACGGAATATAATATACCTAATCAATTCTTAGATTGTTTACATGAAATAAATGTTTCTACGAAACCAATAGACCTTTTAAATAAATAGATTTTAACATTTTTTTCTTTCTGCGTTAATTTTTGGTCAATGATACCTATTCTATAATTTAAGTTTTACGTTGTTTTGTTTAATGATATATAATATATTTTGTTAATCGTTATGTTTTGTTTTGCGGTATTTAATAATTTTTGAATATCGCTTTCCGTTATAATTAAGTTTACAAAATTCAATCGTTTTTTTGTCAAATACAACGTTATAAATTATAATCGTAACGTTACCATACCGTTTGCAAGTCCTGAATTTATAAATATAAACTATGGGAACGAATACAGTTTTTTTTTTCAAAATGTGTGTGTTTTGTATGCGCTTAATATGATGGAAC